TGTGGGGAGAAAAACCCGAGCAGCTTGCTTAGAGTTTGTACCAGGTGTGCACAGGGCAGAGGTGCTGCCAAACACTGCAGTTTTAAAAGATGAATAGCACTTAAAGCTAGTCTAATGTTGGACTTGGACTTGCTGTGTTAACACTTGGATTCAATGATCTTAAGGTCTTTTCCAACCTGAAATATCTATTCAATGATTCTATAATGTTGGTGATAAATGTCCTGGAAATGCCCATGCCATAAGCCAGTTACTTCCCAAGACCTAGTCTTGCTTAAGTAAGCCAGGGATAGTTTTTCAATTCATGTTAGTGAGGTCATTTGGAACCTTGTTCAGATAATGTCCTGTATTGATTCATTTCAGTAATTACAGCTGAAACTATTAAATTTGTGCATGTGTTCTTTCCTGAGCACAGTCCTCATGCTCTTGAGGTCTCTAATTGCTCCATTATTCAGAGATTTAAAGCATAGTTCTCAAAGTTTAAGTAGAGGTTTAAACACGAGTAACTAAATAAATTTTGTTACTGTGATTTCCAAACAAAACTAAGAGGAGTTTAAGAAATGTAGAATTATAGTCAATGTTATGACACTGACATAGGGAAAGCTGTGTATTTTTTATGTGGTCACAGCTTCACCTGGCAGATTTCATAAGAGTGCTCCTTCTACCCCCACCCCCTTTCCAGTGTTTCAGTTCAGAAAAAAACTGATTTTTTATTCTAGAAAAATGCAAAAAAATGCCTCTAAACAATGACATAATCTGAAGACTTTCAGACTGCCAAACTGCATTGTACCAAAAACATTCAAAGGAATGAAGAAAACAAGATTTTTGTAAAACCTTGGTGATTCATTTAGTCACAAGCAAGGAAATCCCTGTAAGGAACTGAAAATCCATTCTATATTTAGCATCAGCTTAATAGGATAATGTGGCTATGGTTTACTGTTCTTCAGATTGCTGGAGTCTTGCATTGTTTCATTGAAAAGGCCAGGCTTCTTTAAGAAGTCTGATCTTGCTACTTTTGCAAATAAGCTGTCTTAAGGTCAAGGAGAACAACTTCCACTTTCTTCTTTTGGTAGTTCATTGTCTTTTGCAAGTCTAATACTGCTCTGAGGAGGCAAACACAAAATTATCTGCTTTCTGTGTTTTAAAAAGGTGCCCATACCACTCTGCAGAACAAAGAGTTGTTAAGCTGCAGCCATCTTTTACAGCTTCAGTATTTCCCAGGAACTATCTTCTTCTGCATAGTAAAATTCATATTTACATTCCTATAAGAATCACAGAATTACTAAGTTTGGAGAAGACCTCTAAGATCATCAAGTCCAACCATGAACCCAGCACAGCCTTGTTCACCATATTCCCTAGTGCCACATGCACTACTTTTAAATACCTCCAGGGATGGTGATCCCACCACTTCCCTGGGAATCCAGTTCCAATTCCAACTTAAAATAGTACTCTCTGACTTGCTCTAGTGTCTTATCTCAAAATCCCATTTGAGGAGAAAACTGAGAGCTTCATGTGATAACAAAATGCAGCTATGCTCTAACCAGATGACGAACTTGAAAGGAATGAATCCTAAAAGTTTCAGAACAGCCTAGCTGTGCCCTAGGTTTAAACTGATCTCCAGTCTTCCACCTGCAAATAATACAGAAGATGTTAAATGAAATGCATAACATTTTTGTGCCAAATTTTCAAAAAGTGTCCACCTCCAACTTCTTTTTTTTAAATAGGCTAGAATATTGCCATCTGCGAATGTGAAGCTGTGAAAGCATGAATCTGAAATCTGTCAGCTGTTCATCAACATGCTGGTAATAAAAAAATGCAAGTGACAGAAGGTTGGGTTTTGGGGAGGAGGTTGCAGAGGGCGGGGGAATCGTGCCTACTTTGCCAGAAGGCAATGAGAAGCTGCACCTAGACCAAACTTGGGATGCTTCTGCAGGCTGTGCTGCAGAGCCAGGAGCTCTGCACCACTCACGCCTGGCTGGAGAGCATCCCAGCCTTGCCATGGAGACAGCAGGTGACAGATCCCTGTCTCTGGGGCTAGAAATCAGACACCTCTGCAGTTTCAACATGTCCCAGGGATAGCCACTGAAGTAGGAGAGAAATGCTTGTAAGGGCACACCAGCTATGTACCCAACACCCGGCACTAACCGCTCGGTATTTGCCCTCAAGCCAACCCTTGACTTTTGAAAGCCACCATTTTTAAAATAACTTTTCTCTTGGTTAATTAATTAAATAAAATTGATTTCAAATAAGAAAATAATGTATTATAAATATATTTTTAAATTCTGATAAATTTGACCTGAAAGAAACCTTTCTGCTTTTTTGTAATTTCTTCTCACTCGCTCACTCGAAGGCTCTATTATGGAATTGTTCAAGCCATTACTTGTAGTACAGCATTTTAATAAATTAATTTTCTCTTTCTAACCACAGTTTTCTATTCCAATTTCCTTTATCTGACTTCTGCATTATTTTTTCAAATGATAAAATGCTCTCTTTCATACAGTTAATTCATTCATGACTTTTAAAATTCGTATTTCACATAACTATGCTGGCAAGTTTGCTGATGACAGATCAAACCCTTCCCACCATAGTTTTCAGTTACCCATCTGAACAGATTCCTTAAATTTCCTTCTCCTTTGGCAGCTTTAATTTAATTCAGACCTTTTGTAAGAGAACTTTTATGAGTAGTAATTTTTTTCACTAAGGAGAAAGCCCCTTGATTATACAGGATTATATTATTTACCATTAGCTGCATGCTTCTTAGCAATTCTGGCAACAGTTTGCAGTATAGACCTATAAAAACTCATAATGCAATGTCTCAAAATTTGCTGGAACAACATTTTCTCAGTGCTGAATGAGGCCTCATAAGAACAAAAACTGCCTTCAAAGTCCAAACATCCCATAATCTGCTCATCTCCACAACACATAACAGCTTTTGATCTCTGCACAAACCCCGCTGTTGTATTAGTTCATCTTTCAAAAGGATGCTCATTTTTGATATCTTGACTTCACAATTTTAGAAGGCAAATGAGTAACAGCATCTCCTAAATTGTCTTAGAAGCTGCATTGCTTGTAAATTCACAGTTTGTTTTTTAGTTTTGACTTCTAACCCTTAAGTAATACTCACAGGAGGATTAAATAAGTTTCCAGACTCCTAAGTCAAGCCCAGAGGTGGCCACAAGCACCCTTCTGTGGGTATTTGCCAGAATACCCACACAGCATCTTTTTGCTTGTACCAAAACTCCTTTCTCCTGGTGCAATTTTGCTTCTGATCATTGCCTCTACTTTCCTTTCAAAGGTGGCCAAAAAAGGAAGTGAATGAGAATGTGCAGCCCAATCTTTGCTCTGTATCTGAGACATAGGAACTGCAGCACCCTGAAGAGTGAAGTTTACATTTAAAGCCTTCCTCAACATGAGAAAGTTAAACCTTGGCATTTCACCTCTAATAAAAATGCCCTTTTCCCTCTTCCTGGGCCTAGAAACAGGTGAAGAACTGGAGTGGCTGGTGATTAAGCCACCTTTTTCCTCTTAGAATAGTTAGAGTTGGATTGTAGTTTCAAAACACATGAATTAGACTCACCATCATCTTGTCCTCCAGGTGTGTTTTAAAAGAAAGTGTTTAAACATGGGCTTGCTTCTCTAGCAGAAAGATAATAACTGAGTCCAGGAGATTCTGGACTCAAAGTCCTGTGTTGGTGGAGGTTCATCCAGGCTCCTTACCATTCCGAGACAGCAGAAGATATCAGACACCATCTGGCCATTAGTACATCTACAGTCTTGACCAACAAAATGCACCCCCTTGTCTGCATCCCACCTGGGGATCACCCCTGTCCCTGTGAAGCACTGAGGAAAACCAGATACCCCTCTCTAGGTGCTTGGGCAGGCATAACCCTGGGTGACTGAAGCTGGCTGTGAGCCTTGTGCTGGCTGACCACTACACCTCTTCTTCCCTTGGCTACTGCTCACAATCACAGTACAGGCAACTTTTAACCCTTGGGTAAACTGCACAGCGAGCTTTCCTGACATACCGCTGTAACACATTTTCTAAAACTGAACACTTGTTTTCTGATCCTGTTTCCTGGAACCTTTCTTACATTACAGCACATATGCCAAAATACTGTGTTACAGCCTCTCAGATCATTTGTAAAACTGTACTAGCTACCTCGCTGCTCTCAAATAATCTGCTTGTGTATTTGGGGGTTTCTGGTTGCCACAAATACATAAATACAAATATTAGAAGTTCTAAGCAACCATTTATCACCTCCTTTTTAGGTTGACTTCAGACCAAGATGTGACAAAACTACCATCAGACTTAAAATACCCAGCCTGGACAAAACTTCTACGTGAGGCATAGGGTCGTTAACAAGCTGATAAATTTTCAATTGTTGCAGAAGCCAGCTCATGCTAGTCTTTGAATTAGCTCCTCACGCACTCCAGGAGGCTGGTTTGAGAACTGGGATGGCCAGTAGCAGTCAGGGGACCGATACAGCTAAAGAAAGCTCATGAGCCAGTTCAGAAGACATGTTCCAAGTTCCTCCCCAGGTCTTTTGCCTTTTATTCTCCAATTCAGGTATTACATTTCCACTGGTTTCCACCAGGATTGCGCATGCACCTTGACATGTTCACAGAAGTTCCACGATACAGAGTTTCACAACTGGGACAGGTCCCTACAATCGGGACACCAGAGTGACAAAACAGATTCTGGAGAATTTCCCACTGAATAGGATGGAGGGAACATAATTACCACATCGTAGCACTACAATGTCTCATAAACATAGAATAGACTAGATCCATTTACCACAAAAATCACAGAAAATAACTTATCAAAGAATATATATTTTATGTAAAATATACATTTGTAGAATATAATTTTAATACAATTTTTATACTTATTAATGTTGGGTTTGCAACACTTTGAATTAAAAAAAAAAAAAACACAAAATATTCTTGCTGCCAGAATTTTATTTCTGATAATACTTATAGTTTGAGGTAACAATGAAAGAAGACTGTGTGCTGTGAACAAAGTCAGTGATGGTTGTCTGCAGTCACATTTTTGTTATTAAAGTGAAAAGTAAACTTAGGACTTGGCATGTACACTAGAATTCATAACAATTTAGGTCATGGCAAACTGAGAAAGCAAGGACTTATGCAAACCTACTCTGTTCAAATTTGTGACTTTTGCAATATATGCCATTAGTATGACAGAAGTCAAGACAGATGTAGTTTACATCACTATCATTATTAAGCGCGTGTCTTTGTATGATCCACAGCACAGCTTCCTGCAGGAACCAGGAATAATAAACACAGGGGTGTGGGTCTTTGCATGGAGCCTTAGCAATGATGACATGAATTCAGCTTTCCTTGATACAGCTAAAAACTGATATTCCATGCACACGCGTTTTATTTACACTGACTCATCAACAGTGACTAGTCACCCCTTCCTCTGGCAGCAGTAATTATCAGCGGTCTTTCGTCTTCTTTAACAAGCTCTACTTCTCAGCACAGTCTCAGTGACCTCCTCAAGGTGTGAGTCGTTTATCAGGGTCCATTCAGCAGCAGCAGTCTCTTTCCAGTACAGTCCTTGGTATGGCTAAATTCCATTGTCCCTTTCTCAGCAGTCAAAAATCCATGATAAATTCTGTACAACACTGTAGTTAATATAACAGCAGCACCAGATATTATATTAATTCATTTGCTAAAAGCTGTTTGCAATTATCTTTCTATTGACAATATTTTACCAAAAGTAAATCAATGTACATCTCTAAATATCAGAAATGTATACTTTGATAAATACATTATTGTACAAGAATTCTGACATGCAGGTCATGCTATTGGGCTTGGCTATATACAGAAGAACATGTTACACGGTCAACAAAATATTTAATTTCTTTTCCTAACAAAAAAGTAAAACATGACAGGTATTATTCAACAATTTCAAGGATCACTTAAGATTTCAGTCATTATGATCTTCACTGTGTAGTTCTAAAACTCTACAGTTTAAGGGTAATTTTTCCTCACCAGCCCAGAACCTCAAATTTGCCATTGCATTTGTCCTGTTGCATAAACAGAGGTTTGAATATTGAATGAAAAAGCCACTAGAGGAGATACAGTTTCAAAATTGTAATGAATGCTGGTTGCTAGGAGGAAGATTGATGCAATAGGCAACCGGTCAATGCTGAAAAGCCGCTTGAAAAATCTTAGGAGTGCACACGAGTTAGTCTAGACGATACTAACTGCACTTGAAAAATATGTATATTTCTATCTATACACGGATGTATAGTCCATATGAAAAAAAAAGAGAGAAGGAGGAAAAGTGCTCTTAGTTCAACTTAAAAAAAGGGGGGCATTTTAACAGTATCTCTGTGCTTTATGGAGACAGATGGAGAATACAAGGAGACAGGTTGCAAAACAGACAGACAAACAACATAGAGGACAAAGCACCTCAACGCTGACTGAAGAAATTTTTGAAGCCCATGAGCCAGAGGTATAAGGCTGGTCAAAAACCCGACTTGAGAACTACTACCCTCTTACAATGGTTAAAAAAAAAAAAAAAAAGCCCCCAATAATTGTTTCAGTTTTACTTGGTACTCAGCTTCTGAAAATGTTGAAGAACCCTGGAGTAGAGAAAATACTACAGTACCAAGCAGCACTTGCTAGCTTAAAATTGCAAGTCTGGATGGCGTTTACCTTTCTTGCATGTTTTGTGCCTTCCCCAAGCCATTAAGAAAGAGATCTGGCTTCTGCTTGCGTGTAACCAGTAATGACAACCTCTTTGCAGTTATCTGTGTGCAAACAACCGGAGACATTCAGAACTCTGATACAGCAATCCAGTACCGAAATAAGTTAATCACAAAATAAAGTCGTTTATAAACAAGTAGATAGTTAAAAAAATAAAGGAAAAGGTTAAACAAAGAAAAACAATCCCACATGCAGACCAGTTTATCAGTGCTTTCATTTCAGCAGGATGGTAACAATGTGAGAACACACATCCAGAGCCCTCTGTGGTCTCCACGATCGGCAACACTGCTTGTCAGGTGATGGAGACAGGATGGTCCATGCAAATGAGCAGACCCTTCAGAGCAGACATCTTCAGAATGGATTAGAGTCACAAGGAATGGAGGTTCAATGGAGTTACTGATAATTACTTGGAAGCACATTGTTTTAAGTATATCTCCCTGAAAATATGCTTATTTATTGAATATACTGGACAATAGCATCCACTAACTGTCCTTTTATTGCCACAGGAAAGTAGGACAATATAGTAGATAAAAGGAGAAATGCTACCTTGAGTAATCTTTAAAAGCCAAGACAAAAATCTTCAGCTACCCAAGTGGCTTTTCTTACTACTGACAGTTGTATCATGCAGGAGTTAGACCGTATTTGTGGAGCCTATGCTTAATGCTACATTTATTTCCAATAAGTGGTAAACAGCATTTGATTTAATACTATGTAGCCGATTGATGCCATCTGGTTTACAAGATGGAAGGGATGGGAGACCGAGAGCGCCTTAGAGGACAAGGTGAGCTGTAGGGTGATGTTACTGGAGACAGTCGCAGAGCATTGCCTGTCAAGCCAGCTATGTTGTTTAAGCTTCGAGATTTTTCATAGCCTTGTATGAGAAAATGCACAGACATCAGTTGAATTCAGCCAAAAAATAGACAAAGACAAACAGTACAATGTAATGTAATCCAAGGAGCTACCGGGGGCTCAGAGGGGAATCTGCCTGCAAAAGAACTCAGTGCTGAGACACATTACTACGAAAAGATATTAATAAATAAAATTATTTACAAATTAATGCATCTACTTTCTCCCAAAAGAATTAAACAGACCACCACACAAGAGGTCTGACCTGCTCTTCCACATCCCATCTTGCACTTAATATCGCACTGTGGGCTTCAGCAGGGTTGCACAGAGAGCAAGATAAAGGATCCCACCAGGGTGACTGAGCTATCTGGCTAAGCATAATCAAAAACCCATTAAGACAAACTACAGAAACTGTTAGAATTAAAAAAACTCTGCTAAATTCAATTCTTAATAAAGTACAATTTTTTTTTCTTTAAAATAAACAAACCAGAAACCAGATCAATTTTATACAGTATGTGTAAATCAGTTTTGCATTGGACTGAATGATAATATAAGAAGTTTTATCTTCAAAAATATTAACCCTTAGGCTTTGCTTCTAATTTTAAAGACTAAAAAGACAGAAGAGTTTGACATATTTGTAAATGGCTCCTGAATGGCAAACTTAAAATATTGAATTTGTGCTTCTTTTCCAGATGATTTGAACAAAATCAATGGTATTAATCCATATAAGAAAGTAGTATAATTAATCATTAAATGAGGCAACCACATAATGCTTCACAATTTGAAGGGAACATTGCACTTCAGACATTTCTGTTCACATACACTGTGAGCTACCTACTTTTTGCCACTGTGGATTGTTTGCACTTTGTAGAGACAACGATAAAACATTGCTATTCACTGCATCACTATCTTCATATTCAAGTATTTTCAGCAGCTGCTGAATAATCTAATTGAAAAGTATCTCCTCATTGTTCTGAAGACATCAGCAATGAAATACAACCAAGATAAAGCCAGGCAGGACCTTGCTCCTGAAGTACATGGGTATGTGCTTCAGTGCAAGCATGAGAAGTCTCACTGCTTTCAGTGGCACTACTTTTTTCCTTGAAGAAAAGTATGCATTTAAGCATTTGTCAGGTTAAGATGTTCAGCTATAAATTGCCTACAGGGGAATAATGAGACTTTTTCCCACAGAAACTTTAAAATACCAATGATAATAAAACTAAACACCACATGGAATGTTGCATTTTTTTTTTTCCTGATGGAAATGGTTACTGGCTCAGATTCCAGATCTCTAGGCAGCAGAGAGTTAACAGCATCTTTAGGAAAAATCGTATCTTGGGCTCTCCCCTTATGACAATTAACATGTTTCTTACCTAGTGAGACCTGCATACTGTAAAACTATACTTGAAGCAAATGTATAACCTCATGTCTGCTAAAACATTGTGCAATGTTCTCTCCAGATGGCAAGGGCAGACTAGACTGTGATACTACACAGAATTCTGATACATTTCTGAAACAGCCTCCAGTTTCTGAGATTTTGTCAGTATTTACACAGACTAGAAAGAATTATGTTTGAAAAGGGAATTAAAGAGAAGCACAATGCTAGTGTATATATTTAAACTCCCTGTAAAGACAAAGCTTATTTAAAAAAAAATCAAAATAATCAGGTAGCTTTTTTACATAGAAACTAGAAAAGCAGTTTTTAAGATTCTTTTTCTTGCTACTCTTCTCATGATAAAAGGAAAGAACTGATAGAGGAAGATGGTAAAGATTACAAATAAAGTAGAAACTCCTAAAAAATGAAAAACAGATACACAAGATGAAAAATGAGAGATGCATGATCCAAAATCAGTACTTTTCGGGTATTTCAGTGGATCAGCTCTGAATCAGTATCATTTTGGAGATGGAGATGCAAAAAAAGCTCAGAATAAATAATAACTGAACATAACCAAGAATCAACCAAGGAAAAAAACAAGCAAGAATGTACCAAAAGAAAGAAAGAAAAGGAAAAAATAGAATGTCAAAGTAGTGGACTTGATGTGTGAATGACATTCAAGCATTCAAACCCATTTGTATATTACTTGAAGATATTTTCTGCTTACATGCTAACTTCCCTACTCTGTATAAAATACACTCCAAAGCCAGTGGCTAAAACATTTCAGCCTCAATGAAGATTATCATCAGAGCCAGATAAAAGAGCACATTTCTCATCATAAAACTGTCCATTCTGAACTCAAGCCCCAGTTTTCTAGTAAAAACTACAAACCATTTTCTTTTAAATCTAGATTTACGAATTAAAATGTTCTAGGATAAAATAGGTCTCACTGTTAAATAAATATGTCTTTAGTAGCTGATGGGTAACTTCTTTTATTATTTTTGATCTGCTCTAGTCATGGTTACTGCCATAACTTGCTGAGTGAAGTTAAAAACCTGATTATGCAAGATGTCATGGCAATCTACCTTATCCAGGTGTTCTTGACCTCCTCAAGGACTCTCACCATAAGAAATATTTTAAATTTAGTTGTTGAGAAGACAGTGAAACATACGCTCAGTGGAAAATGTAGTAAATCTGTGCAAAAAACATGCTTGCAATGGTTTTTCATTTAAGATAAACATTATATAGAGGAGTACACAGAATGCCCGAGCAGAGAGTCATACTCTTTGCAAATACTGTATCATGGTTGCCTATCTGCCTTCACAGGTTTAACCTACTGAGCTCATGCTTTGAGGTGTAAAAAGAGCACTTGCAGAACAACCCAAGAGAATTCCTTTGAAAAAAAAATAAAAAATAAAAAAATGTCAGGCAAAAATGTTTGTCCAGTGGCATGGCTATTTCACATGAACTCTGAGGTGAACAACCGCACTTCAGCACTCAGGAATGCAAAATCTGTCAGAATGACACAGATAATAGAATATAATTTGCCAAGAATATAATTTGCCAAGAAACAAAAGCAGTTCCTGTCTAAGGAAATGGCAAGACTACCGCTGGCATGCTGATCTTAGGGCGATGTCCTGACGTTGGGTTTTCAGCCACAGCCAGGTGTGGCCTGCTGGGGTAGAAACAATCACTCTTGTGGGAGATGCAAGTACCAAACAGTTTTGCAAACTCCACCTGGGTGCTCCCATCCTACTGAGCAGCAAGCAGTCAGAGTTGAAGAGGCTAAATAACTAGAAAGGCATTTTTAACACCTTGCAAGGTCAAGCACTGTTTTACTACATAGCTGATTTATGGCTGGGGTACATAGTCATCCTCTAGTATCAGTGGTGCATTGCCAGGAAAAGAAAAAAATCTTTTGGCATTTTAAGCTCAGAATTTTATTTGAAAGAAATCTAAATAGCATCTCAGGATATGCTTTTTTGTGTTCAGAACAAAAATGTTCCTTACTTCTGACATGTCAACCTTTAAAGAGTATTCAGCTGTAAATTTTATTAAGTTATTAAGAGCAGACCACAGTTATAATATGATTAATGTATCTTTTAGAATGACAAGTTATATTGAGTGATGAGTGGTTGAATGAGCAAGGTCTGAGTTGGAGGCTTTCCCATAAGAGATTACGGACAAATGAAGAGACAAGTGAAATGAGGGTCCAACATCAAGCACGTTTTTTGAAGACAAAAAGGGATGAGTGTTTCTAAAAGGAAAAGAATGACTAGGAGTAAAGAAAAAAAGATACATTGTGAGTACAGTGTTTCCTCTAAGAGCATTGTGCACATCATTTTACTCTAAGATTGTTTTTCACAAGCACATTGCTGAGTAACCTTTTATGATCTAATGAAAGAAGTCCATACCTTTCCTGATCCCTCCATCAGTAGCACACGTGTAATCACCTGTTGTCAGTAGGAAACATGTTCCCCCTCTTCTGTTTTTGTCTCTTGTACTAGAACGTCTGATGGGAGGGAGCCTTTCACCAGGTGAGAGTGGCTGCTCACTTCCTGCACTGTCTTCACCTGATAACACTGGTTAAAGCACCATGCCCATTTACAGACAATAATGAATGAGGAAATGAGACATCACAAAGAGCTTACGCTGAATGCCAGATATTCCCATCACTCAAAAAGTAGATATAAAGTAAATCATTAGAAGAAAACAAGATTGCAATTCATCATTAATCAGTACAAAATGGCAAAAGATACACATTTTGTTCAAGAACAAATGATCTTCCGACTTTCCTGTTCTTCTTCTAAAATTTATAAAATTAAACTATTATGAACTAAGAAATAATCAAACCAAGGCTCAGTTAGTCACCTACTCTGGACTGTAACTTGTCAGCATACAGTCAGCCTTGGATATTTCAAACACTTATTTACTATTTTGGCTATTGTTTTTGCCAAACAAGAGGTCATGTTAGGCATTTTTGTTTAGAATATATTGTTTAATTTTTTAGAGACAAGCCCTCATCCAAGGGCTGTGTTTTCAACATTTGGCACTAGACACTGTTTAATAACACACTTAGCTTTCATTTGCATATTTATTACACTTGCACTGCTTGTCATCGTAAATACCCAACATTAAATGCTGTCTCGGTCTCTGTACTTTGTTTTGTCAAATGGCAAAACTTCTGCCTCTCCTGATTTGTCACTCCCAAAGGACTCTCTCTTTTAAAATTATCTACCATTTCAAATTCAGGCCACACTTTAAAAATCCCTTCTCAGTACAGCACATAACTTCAGCTTTACCTTTGCATTTTAACCTGAGGATGTTTTGGTTTTTCTCTGAACTGGGAATGCAAAGGGCAGAATTCAGCCTTGAAGTTTTGCACATAATTCATAGTGACTCTAATAACATTCTCTATCAGAAATAAAGCTACAGTGCATGATGTGAGCGGTGGCACTACTGAAAATAAAGATAACACTTTAAAATGGCTCCTTCTTGCATGTCTGCTTTCTCTCTGACTTCAAGGATTATAACCCCTTGTAAATAAAGCTGTAGACACAAAAAAAAAAGTGTCTCTTAGTGAGAGACATAGTGATCACACTGAGCTTTCTCCATTCAGAATACCTTTGGTAGGACCTGATGGCATGAAAAAGCTGTTACCATTAACACTTTAAAGATGTTATCTCTAAGTGGGTATCAGTCAAAGCACTAAAAAACTAACCATATTTTACTGTCAGTCTGAGTCTTTTCAAGCATTTCTATCCTTTTAAATATATTTAGGATTTCAAAAAGCTGCATTAACTTTGTGAACAGTAACTCAGAGAGTGAAACTGAGCTTCTTTGAATGTAAACGCAATTTAGTAACAGAGCAACAGACCAAAGAAGGATATTGTTCAGAGACCGATTTTCCAGACTCTTCTTTTTAAAAACTATATTTCAATTACTGAATTACACCAGTCATGAGTGGTTTTGCTCTTATTATTCTTTAGCAGCTTTACAGCTGGAGTCTCATGACCGGTATGTGAGCTTTTTAAACAGATTGTGTTTGGCTTAAGAATAAATATGCTTAAGAAACAAACAAAAAAAAAATCTTGCAGATAAACTATTTAATTATGCTGAGAGGTAAAATTTACTCTTTAATTGCAACAGGTTTGGAATATGGAGCAGTGGCTTGGAGGGACTGAGGCTGTCATTTGATATGCAATTTCACTGAGTAAAGCACAAAATACTCCTTATTCATCATTTGGAACTCTAACAAATAAGGTAATAGAAATCACAAAAATCAACTGTTATAGCGATGATGATGCTAAGGACTGCCATTTTCTTTTTTCTTGACAAGATTTACATCAGCTATGCTAGTGTAATTTAATGAATAGTAAATATCATGCAATGTCTCATCTAACACAGATGAAGGAGATTCTTTTAGCCAGGGAAGCAGAATGCCAAATGGAAAGAAAACTAGAAAGAAAATTTCTTCCTATTTCCTTTGAGTGCTGGGCTTTGGATGTAAAGCACCTGCTCCTTTTAAATGACTGCTTCTTTGTAGGATCTTGCTTAACAGGCCACGATGTGGCACAGGCAAAGCTGACACAAGAGACAGACACTGAGGCAAAACACCATGGAGTCCAACAGGGTGGGACACGGTGGCTGCTCAAATAGTCACAGTCATGCAGAAAAACAAGAAACATCCATACAACGCAACAAACAACAGGCAAAAGAAAAGGTTGATATCATCAGCAGGAAAGCATTCTCAACAGAGCAAGCAAAACTGTATAGACCAGCTACATAGAGGTTTGGGAACATCACTATACCTATTTTTTCCTCTATGAGACTGACACACGCAAATGTTGGAGGGGAGAAGGGTGGGAGCTACATCTTCTCCTGGCAGAAAGACTGGCTGCTTTCTGACCCCTACCAAACATACTGGTCTATAAAGTGTTTTCAGAGGACATGCATTTCCAGTGGGGTCCTACCTGATGATCTGTTGTGTTCCATCAGCTGGTTGTCCTTGCCCAGGCAGATGTCACCCTGTGTGCTATTGCAGGCCATGTTCAAGTCTGTCTTGCAGAAGGTGGGTGAGCTGGCTTGAGGAGCAGGAGGGATATGCTTCTTTCGCTTCCTTGGCAGTTTCTGCTTCGCCATGGCCAGGGAGTAGTACATCCCAAAATTGTTAACTATCACAGGCACGGGCATGGCTATGGTGAGCACTCCCGCCAGTGCACACAGGGCTCCCACCAGCATGCCTGACCAAGTCCGTGGATACATATCCCCATATCCCAGGGTGGTCATGGTGACTACAGCCCACCAGAAGCCAATAGGGATGTTTTTGAACTGTGTGTGTTCACTCGCTGACGGGTCATTAGGCTGGGCTCCCACCCGCTCTGCGTAGTAGATCATAGTGGCAAATATCAAAACACCGAGGGCCAGGAATATTATCAGCAGCAGAAATTCATTGGTGCTGGCTCGCAGAGTGTGGCCCAGCACCCTGAGGCCCACGAAGTGCCGGGTGAGCTTGAAAATCCGGAGGATCCTGACAAACCTTACCACCCTGAGGAAACCGAGCACGTCCTTAGCAGCTTTGGAGGAGAGCCCACTCAGGCCCACTTCTAGGTAAAAGGGCAGGATGGCCACAAAGTCAATGATATTCAAGAGGTTTTTGACAAATTCAAGTTTGTTGGGAGAAAAAATAACACGTACTAAAAATTCAAATGTAAACCATACCACGCAGACTCCTTCCACGTATGTCAGTGCAGGATCTGTCTCAATCTCATACTGTAACACAGCTTCTGTCCCATTGATGACCTGCTCAGTTTTGTTTATAATAGTATTGAAAGCCTCATGTGTTTCCAGGCAGAAGGTTGTGATTGAAACTAAGATGAAGAATAAAGAGGCAAAAGCGATGAACTGAAACACAAAGAGATAAGAGACATCAGAACCACAAAGCTCTTCACATTAATACAAATGATGTCTGCATTTATAGTAAAATTTTTATTCATTCTTCCCCAAATGGCTGGCAAATTCATACACATAGAAATTACCATCTAGGCCAGAGGAGACCAGCAGACATCTCTCACACGCAGGTGAGGAGTCCAGGAGCAGGAAGTCTTGGCAATGGATTTTATGACAAAATGCAACTCATTAGGAAAGTGGCAATAAATCCTTTCAGCTGTGCAAAATTGTCTGAATTTGATTCAGTTGTTAAGGTTCCTTGTACACACCAACCACAGCAATACTTAAAGATGTCCAGCTCTCGCACAGTGAAAAATATGGGCTGACCCTAACAGTCTTGAGATTATGGTTCATAATTCAGACCTGTCTTGAAGAGCACCTCAGAGGGATCTAGGAGCAGATCCAAACACTGAGTTCCCTTTAGCTTTTCAATGACTTACAAATACAGGATATTTACTGACAGAAAATGCCTTCTGTGTTACAGACTGCAGGTTGCATAGCCTATTATGTATGTAGCCATCCATCACTGATTATCTTGGGCAGCACTATAAGTAAACCTTACAGAACCTCACACACTGTAGTGGCAGAGCTTTGCCACAGTCTTAGGATCCACAATCCTGCTAACTAGCTTACAAATTCAGGGCAATCCAAACAAAAAGAGAAATACAAATTCAGTTCTAGTAGAGGCACGTGAATTGATAAAATACAGGTAAATAACCTGGAAACAGTCATCACAAAAGACTGGTTAGGACTTAAAAAGCATATACTGTCTGTTCTTCTATTCAGCCATCACAGTCAAGCATTGAATAACAGAGAACATCCAGGACAGGATCTCAAAAATTAACACTGAGCCAAACAGCTAGAGCAGGAGATAGAATTTCTTACATTGAGGAATATACACCAAATGAAAAGGTGTTTTGAGGTCAGTTGTTCCTTTGCTATAATGGTTAACTTCTTTTCAATGACATTAAAGCCATATTAGCTAGCACTCAAACAACAGTGGTGTGGTACATAAATTACAATATATTTATTTTGAATTTTCATCTTAATAAACATTTTATAGCAAATAAATTTATAGCTGGGGGAAAAAAAAGCCTTCTGGAAACATGAAGATTTTTGAAAGCATTAGGTGCCCAAGGAGGCAAAAAGATGCCTGAATAGTTTAAAAATATCTAGTATCGAGTTACCACACTGAAATCTTGAATGTCATTGGGAAAAACCTAGTTGCAAGGCAGACAAAATAACAGCCATAAGCAGGAATGCCTCTGTTCTACCACTTTAATCCAGGATACAGCATTGTGGCAAAACCAATTTTGTGTACTTTGGATATCAATGACTGAATTTAGTATTAGCATTTAGATTTAGTGTTATGTGCCACAGGAACCCATTTGGGCTCATACAATACCGAATGCTTGTATTTTTCTAACATGGAACACTGGTTAGACAACAAAATATTGTCACTACAACCGTTAGAAAGAATTCCTTTTTTTTTTCTGGAAACAAGCTTAAATTTGCAGTGCAGGTCTAGCAAATTTATTACATTCAGATTCACGAGATGGATTTATGAAAAATCCCATATAACTACCTATATCAGATATTTGAAGGTTAGTTATGCCTTCCTTTCCTCAGCCAAGGAAAAAAACTTATTACACCATAGCCTACAATTGCAAACACTCTAAATCTGTTGCCTTTCAAAAAGTACTGACTCAGACTGAACAGAACACTTATCATCCAGTCTGGACCTCTAGCCACAAGCTAAGCAAACAATCTCACACTGTCTGATTTTTACTGAATAGGCTTTTCTGCCTTTGCCTTAACTACAAAATTGCTGCATGTTCATAGCTCACACCTGACATCAACTTACACAAAAGAGCCTCAATCTTGTCTGAGACAACTAGAGTCAGCAAATACAACCAGATTTATACAATCTAAGTGAATTAATCTCAGCAGATATTTGTAAAACTTCTAGAGGGATAGAGAATTTATCAGACTCTAAGCCACTGGTGGGCTAACAATGACCCTTGGGTGTCTCCTATAGCATTCTCCAGAATCCTTCTACACAGTCAAGGAAGGAAAAAGCAAGCAAATCTTTGCAGGCTGAGTCACTGAAGCTAAGTCAGCACTGTAGTTTGTAACTTGGAAGGGAACTTTTGACAGAAAAAAATATTAGGAAACCCCTTCAACAGCAACACTGGTGATTTCAGACAACTGTGATTTTTTAAATTTTTTTTTTGTCTGAAAATAAAAGAAAATTACATTCAGGCTAACCAAAGTAAAATTTACCAACAACTAAATAATTTACCAACAACTCAGATATAATAAGGATTAACTGTGCATTCAACAGTGCAGTAAACCTAACAGTATGTAAATAATTACCACTGCTTTCTGGACTGTATTTCAGAGGCCATTCAGGTTCAGAACCTTTCTAAAAAAATGCCAACTACCAAGAGAGTAACTAAAGGTAGAACTGCCTGACAAGCTATTTATTACTGCTTTTCTAAACATTGACACTGCATTGACATTGCACTTGGCAAGGCAGATTGAAATTTTTAGCTATGCACCTACATTCAGTGTTTCATTATCCCTAAAGGTAAAAGACATTCAGTCATGTCCAAAATCTATCCTAAAGACAGTCATCTTCCAGTGGTTAGAATAAAGACAACACCATCCATCTGGTGACAGATTTCTGGGTAAGCCTGCAATAAGCATTCCCAGAAATGTAAAACACATGTGATGTACACACTTTGCTATGCATACACATGCCATCACTGGTTTTGAGCAGACACACATTCCTTTTATCTCTCATTGCACTTGGTTTTAAACTGCCAGCTTCCTGGATCAGGACAGAGCTTGAACAGCACCTAGCCAGAGGAAGCCTCATACACAAGAGACCTACAATGTTATTGCAATAATCAGAGGATTCAGAGAACCTGCAAGAAGCAAATGCAAAGACCAATGCAAGCACGAACATTTTATCAGTCAAACAGAAAAATGCTTAGGGATTAACTTTATATTAACAAAGATGATTCCTTAGTATTATGTTACATAATACCAAGCAACATGTTGAAAAGTCTCTAGCATGTTTTTCATATACATCTGTAATGACAGAAACTAAATGAAGTCATGTGCTATCTCCATTTTATGCTTTCCCTCTCCTTCATCCTAATTCCAGCTTCTCTAAAGTAATTAGCCTCTAAAAATAAATCCATTTTTGTCATGTGGGCAAGCACCACACTTCAGAAAAACACAATACAGATTTGAACTCACAAATTCTCTGGTGGATGCAACCAACCAAGTTCTAATCCTCAGTCCTGCAATAGTTCCTCAGTCCACAATAACCAGGGTAGCACACACAACTTTTTTTGTTTCCTTTTTTCTTTTATGAAGCAGAAAAATCTAAAAGGAGTTAGCTTGATCACTAGTTCAGAAAGGTTACAGCAAGAGACAATTTTCTGTTTGAATCATTACCAACCTTTCACTGTGAAAAGTTCTGAAAACTTTGTTTTTGACTAGCTGCAAGAAAAGTTCAGCCTTGATATAGAGCAAAATAGCTTGTTCACCCCCTTTTTTAAACCAAAGATTGCAGCCCTAACACAATTTTTGAATCTTCAAAAAAAAAGCTGAAGAAAAATTTTCAAGTAATATCCAAGTAATCGTGATCTTTTTCTTATTTTTTAAAATGGGTTTCTTAAGTATGTGCTTCTTGTTTGCTTCAATGGATGTAATAGAATTAACTTTCGTCATTTAGGGTTTTTTTCCCTCCTGAAGGAACTATTTTCCTAAGTGACAGAATGGCTGTAGAAACACTCTAGGGCCACCGTTTTCAAAACTGAAATTAACACAAATTGAATTAATAAAAAATTCTGTCCATTCTTGTCAGAAGAGAGCAGTTAAAAGTTGCAAAAATATTCAGTATGCAATACACAGCATGTAGAGCATCCCTCATTAAGCAGTTAAAGCTCTCAGCAGGCTGCTGATTCCCTCTGCTTGCAGTGTGAAGACACTGTGCACCCAATTTTGTTCTTGTGTGTCAGCATCACACGTTCAGACAGTAGAGATTCCATCTCCCAGCTTGTCTAGTTGATAGGATCACCAGCCAAGCTCTATTGCTAAGTTCTACTAATGTTCACAGTAAGTGGATTAATCATCTATAACTTTATTTTCAATGAAGCACATAAATCTAGAGTGTGAGGTGCCTGCAGATAACTTGTTGGAAGTAGAAAACTTTATGATTCGTACTTTGAATTAAGTGTCTCATGGGGAACTGAGTATTTAAACTGAGAGCTTAAAGCAATTTCAAAATTGACAACCAATTCTAGAACACCAAATTGAGCACTCTGTGGATTAGCAGAACTTGTATGAGTCCAACGTCACATTTCACCTTGCACATAGCTCCTTAAGTGCATTGAAAAATGAAGTTTACTAGAAATTGTGGCTGCAAATGACCTGACAGCAGTCTTATCTCACAGGCCAGGTCTGGATTCCAGAGTCAGAAAAGGCAGAAGGCCAGAGGATGCTGTGGCTCACATCTGACACACACACACACACACACACACACACATTTTTCCCATTAAGTAAACCCAGACATGGGACTGGTCGTTGCCCTGGGATGGAGCCAGGGCCTTACTGCAGCCATTCCAAGGATCAACAGCTTAGACAGAGCCCGAACAAAGCAACAAAGCTAGACACTGACCTTTGCACCCAGGTGTACTATACATATCCATAAGATCAGACTGATCCTACTCCATATTTAAAATAAGTTTCTTCTTCCCATCCCACACCCTTCAATAGGCCATTTCTACACAATTATTTAGTTTTCCAAGATGGACAGGTCATACTCAGTGAAGAGGCTAATGCGCAGCGAAGTGTTAAGTCACAGTCATCCTCACTTCTTTAAGTGAGCTTCACATTTAAGTTTTGAATAAAAACTCTCACCATATTTCAGTGTTTTCCCA